CAGTGGGAAGGCTTTGCTGCTTTCAGTAGGTGCGGATCAGACACAGGGGATGCTGCCTTTCTCCCGCTCTGCCCTCTCGGTGGCCAGTGTCGCCACGGACTTCAGAGAGTGAATTTTGACTTGGGAGTTAGACCTGGCTCTGCTCCCATCCCTGCCATTGCTCTGCTGGCTGAAATCTGGCAAGCATTCCCAACCTTGGTCTCCCTAGCTGTGTAGTGTAAAAATAAACAACAACAAAAACTTCTTGAACTCAATAGGTGCAAGCAGGTTAGACAAAACCGTGTAAACCATCAGAATCCAGCTCTGCGAGAGCCAGCGTATTTGCTAGTCTGTCTTCTGTCAGCTTCCAAATACCACCTTCAGCAGAGTAAAATACAATAATTTATAGACATGTTTAAAATCTGACAGCTTCATATGCATTAAACAGGGAGCAAAATTTGTGCTCACCTTTCTAATGCCACAGGCTGGTGCACTGGTGTCTTAATAGATTATCTACTTCTGTTGCTTATTCCTCACCTGAAGTCCTGTTTCTAACACCTGTTACACTAGCTACCTTATAAATGGTGAGAGTGATCAGTTCTCATGCTCCAGGGCACAAGCTGATAACCATCTGGACTGCAGAAGAAATCCACTCCTGTTCCTTTCTATTCTTGCACAGCAAAAACAAGTACAATGAAGAAAGGCCGATGGGGTAATTTACACCTTCTTTTCAAGTAGCCAGTAAAATTGTTTACATATGTTCAGGCACTTACACACATACACACATGCGCGCACATACACACAACAGAATGTACTGCTCTGTTGAAGAGGAGTTTAAGCTGATGGTCTCTAAAGAGTTCACTCCTTTTTTGACAGTGAGCCCCTTAGGAAATTTAAGCATGGTCAGGCTTTGAGGTTGGAAAACAGAGTGCTCTGCTCACCTAGTATAACCTTCTGCACATAAAATTACACAGCCAGCAATATTTGCATCTGACCACAAACTTCTGGTGGGGTTACAACTTTGTTTTTTGAAGAGATGTAGCCAACCTTGAATCTTGCAAAGCGCTCATATTCAGCATCTCCTTCTTTGCTTTGGAAGACAGGGTATGGGTTTTACAGTATGAGTTGCTATGTGCAGTGTATGTAACAGATACATCTAAAACATGAAGTATAATGTACCGTAGGCTGTTTTCACCTTGACTCATTTTGGAACAATCTGAAGACACAAATCCAATGCAAAGCGTGATGTGATATGTACAGTACCACTGAGAGCTGCTGTTCCATTTTAGTTTTGATATGAGGACGCAGCCACATGACAGCACGCATGACGGAAACAGCATTCACAGTAAGATTCGTCTAACTTTTTGTTCCACTTCGGCTGGGCCCTCCATCCTTATGCCTGGCTGCCTGGCAGGCAGGATGACAAGGCGAGAAGGGGGTAAAGACAGACCTCTCACTTATCCCTGCTTTCTGCAGGGCAGACAGAATTGTTCTCACTCCCACGCTGAAAACTACTTAGTGCAGTTGGGCAAACAGCAACGGGGCCAGCGCATGCAAATCAGCAGCTGGTTTCCAAACACACAGGGACAGATGCATCATCACTGGCA